GTGTGTGTGTGTGTGTGTGTGTGTGTGTGTGTGTGTGTGTGTGTGTGTGTGTGTGTGTTTTAGCAAAGCTGTCCTTCATTTTAATTGAAATCATCACATCTGTTGCGAGGAGACAAAAAACTATATTAAAACAAATCTACAGCCACAGTAACGGGGAGAGGTGATTAATTAGCAACACATTTTTTTAAGCTGTAGGTTAAGCTGTGACAATATAGAACAGCTTTTCAGAATCGTCTCTGGGATACTTCCTGGGCCTGCTGCCTCATCAACAACACAGAGCCCTGTGATGAATAAAAGATACGTCGTCACCTCTGCAAGCTCAACAATCGTTTGAAACGTTGGGAGAAACGGAGAGGTGGAGGTTTTTCTCTCAGCGAGCAAAAAAACAAAAGGTCGACATCAAGTGCCACATCGGGAATTAAGGACTTTCAATTATTTGCTGTCGTTTCTAAAAATATTCTCGTAAACATGGTGTCGTTTCTAGAAACGTTTTCATCTACAAGAAAATTAACCGAACCGCTGAAGTAACTATGCCAGACCTGTAGGTGGCGCTGTAACGCTGCTTCAAAAATAAAACAAACAGGAAACAAGAAGCTTTTATGTTTAACCATTTACACACAAACCAGCCTAACTAGAGAATCTGCATTTCCTGCAATAACGCTGAAAGGTTTTAGCTGAAAGCTGCTGAAGTCGAGCTGAAAAGATTTAACAGCAAAACTTTGAAGATCTGATTGGAGAAAGTGTCCAAAAATGTGTCAAAACAGCCGTACAGAGCAGAAAAGTAGCAAAAATTAGCAGAAAATCAACAAGGATATTAAAATGTGTGGATTTATTGTTTGATGTTTTCTACTAGTTGGTTTATGTGTTTTTATATGCATTTTAGCTTATAGTACTTTAAGTATTTTGAAGTGTATTGTAACTGTTATTTTGTAATTATGCAGTTTTACATTTAATATTTTTGAGTGACTTTTACCGTCAGTGTAGGGACTGCAGGGGAAAAATAGCCTTCTGGCTAATTCTGGCATATTTACAGAAATGTTATTAATATGCACACTGTCCCTGTCATAAATAAAGGCAATAAAAAATGTAACATTTTGTAAAACAGCTAAAATGACCTATATTATCTTAAAAAGCTCAAATGTAGCTGAAAAAGCTGTAATTAGCATTCAGCAGAAAGAACATAACTGATTTAAATAGAAAGAGGCTTAAATGACGACCAAAATGTGAATTTAGCTTTAAAACATAAATTTAGCAAAAAATAAATAAATAAATAAAAAATATAAAAACAGCTAAACAGTAGCCGAAATTGTTGAAAACTGCTAAAATTAACAGAAAGCAGTTGAAATTACCATTAAAATCTAAAATTAGCAAAAAGAAGCAGCACAAAAAGTAGGAAGTAGAATAACACCAAGAGCAGAATGACAGCTGAAATAGCAGAAAAAGGGTCAAATTAGTAAAACATTAAAAAAGAAGCTAACATTAGCACAAACAAGTTAAATACCAAAAGAACAATAGGTGTAACGTGTAGTAAAGATTTATAAACATTTTAAAGTGTTTTAAGGATGTTGTAAACATCTCCATTCATTTTCAATGAACAAAAAGTGGCCAAAAAAAGCTAAAGAAAAAGAAGAATCAGCTGCTGAAATACCAAAAGTCGTAGCAGGAGTCCTAAAGGAGCTAAACGTTTTGATTTGACTTGTTGAAATGACACAAATATTGTGGAACGAGTTATGTGTCGAAACGTACGAAATATGGAAAATAATATACTAAAGAGAAACATGATGTCTACAGATGGTTAGAACTACAGACTGGACAAGAACAAGACAAGGACGGCAAATACTTCAAAGTGTCATTGTGAATACTTTGAAGTATCTTTGTGAATACTTTGAAGTATATTTGTGAATACTTCAAAGTGTCATTGTGAATACTTTGAAGTATCTTTGTGAATACTTTGAAGTATATTTGTGAATACTTCAAAGTGTCATTGTGAATACTTTGAAGTATCTTTGTGAATACTTTGAAGTATATTTGTGAATACTTCAAAGTGT